GGTGTGAAACTGATCACGCACGAGTGCGGTACTGTTCTCGGCCGAAATACGAGGCACGTCATTCACCCAGACCTGTAGTGAGAAGCACCGTACTGCTCGGAGGTGCTAGCGTATATGCACAGGGGGAAAAAGGTTAAGATCCCTTGTCTAGTACACTGCGTTTCTAAGGTTTCGCGCCACGTGACGGGCGATAGAGCTCCTACCCGTGTTGGCGGGAAACGTGCACTGTGCAGACAGCTGGTAAAATGAGATTCCAGCACCCAACAGTACTCGTCCGCTTTGGAGTACTGCGCATGAACATCAGACACACGAACTGAGGTCAACCGATTTCCAGAGAGCCATGTATTCATATTAGCTCAACCGTATACTATGCAAACGCGCGTAAGCAGGATGGTGTCTAGCAGAACGCTACCTACTACTAGTAATGAAGGATTTTTGAAACGCCGGAGATCGTCATCAAAAACCGCATAACGAGCCACCGAATGGCGCGAATTTCTGCTTACAAACTTGGCGTTTTACAGGGCACGTTCACCAGCACATTCTTCCTGCACAATTCTGTTCACGCCCAAAGTCCCAAGAATTCGGCGTTCCCAGAGACTGTCTCTGGTCATGAACACACAGGAAAATATAGTCCCCCACAGCTAAACTCACTGTCTGTCCCAGCACATTAGTGTAAAGACGGTTTGGCCGAGAAGGTTGCACTGCAAATATGCTTCCCATCGGAACTCGGAGAAGTATACATTAGTCCCTCTGAGGCTGCTCAAACACTAGGCGCAAGCTATCGCAAAACCAGGTCTTCCACCAACACAAGGGCTCCTCTAGCTTCTGTGCATTGGTTTGCTACATCCATAGGTGAGCGCCAAATAGGCAAAGTGCAAACGAGACAAAGCCATGAAGCCCACCACTTCCCATTCATTACGGTGAGGTTACAAACTGCTTTCTAAACTTTGAAGCACCCTCCCAATCCACGGGCAATACTCTAAACAGCCAGCTACACGTTTATAGCTCAAGCGCTTTGAACGCATACCACTGCAGAACTACTAACTTACTCGCCGTACACAGCCCAAGCCTTCGCAGCTTTTCCGCATTTATGCCATGCCGCAAGTACCTCAAAGGAGCTCCCACACGACATCGCTGAAGAACGCATGGGTTTTGGTTTTACAAGGGAATGGCAGTAAGGATGGTGATGTAGGCTTATGGACAAAAGGGAAAAGCATGCAAAGTCAAGCTTTTGCCCCGCTCCACAATGGCATCTGCTCAATCTTCCACAGCATACCCCGCCGTCTGTGCACACGTACTCTCTGAAGCACAAAATACAAGCATAGTGAGCTTGTAGAGTACCTTCCATCGAGCACCTGCTGCCTATACCGCTTTTCCCTGATCAGCGGTCTACCCCAGTTTCGTCTTCAAAAGCTGCTGGCGCAGTTTGTGAACCAGTATTGTTAATACGAGAGAGCAACGACACGGGCGCGCAACTGCTCACGCAACTCCACAACCCATGTCCTAGACCCCCGTTGCCGCCTCATACTCGAGGCATAGTTTGCGACTGTAGTTACAGACGACAATCGGTCAAGAAACGTATGCCTGACGCTCCCGCAGACCTCATCAATAGGTGAATAACTTCTCCGAAGTGCAAGCATTGTTGGACGATAAAACAGCTGCCACCCTCCTCTTCACCTAGTATTCACAACGCGCCTCGAAAACGCCATCCAACTGTCTGAGCCACACCCCATAGTCCTTTGCACCAGGAGCTACAGCACCCAGCGCACTCTCCGAGGCGTTCGACACCTAGCCAAACTTGTTGTCCAATGTCCTGCACGTGTGCTAAAAAAGGAAAGAGCCTGACAAATTCACCCTGGCCTGACTGGTTGACAGATTGACCGCCGGGTGAGTCCGCACTTTTTCACAAAGTCTTGAGGCATGCAGTGAGCCGTGAGTCGTCTCCATTACAGCTGGTACGTCCAAGAATCTTAGAACGTGCACAACTGTAAAACCACTAGTACATCTGCTGTCGCACCAACACACGCACTGCCGTCCCTGGGCTCGCTGTTTCATGCCGCATGCAACTACAACACTAGGCGTCTGCTGCGAATTTACCTCTCGCCCTCCTTGCCAGTAGTTCTGAGGAATTTTTTGTTCGTACACAGCCAAGCTCATCTCCCACGAGCCACCATACACCGAACCACAAGGATTGCCCCTGCGCCTTTTTTTCATACAATTCAAACTGACCCCCTGCACAACGGCATGCTAATTCAGG